GCCGTGTGTTGGTCGGAGCCTTCAGCCTGCCTACTAGGCAACACGTGCGCAAATGTGCTGACGGCTTGCCTAAGCAGTGGGCTGACGTCCAGCCAGCTTCGCACAGCTGGGTGATTGGTGGGTTTTGCTTGCACATTCCTGACTGTCGGCCTTTACACATCTGGTCCAGGAGGGAGCATATCGCCACGGAAGGCCACTCTATGCCGCTTCCCGGACCTGTGCGAGGGCGTGTGAACTGTACTCATAGCGCCGGTGCGTGCAGCACCGCACTTGGGACAGCGGGGTGAAGAGCAAAGCTGGAAAGGCGAGAAAAAGACCAAGTTGTTGTGGTTAGAGATGGGAGAGCCGGGAGAAACGGAGAGAGGGAGGAAATGAAAGAGGGAGAATGTAAGGGCGGGGGGCTGGATGGATGCGTGGGGCCGAGCGCAACGCTGGGCCGGGGTCAGTGGCCCAGAGGCGACAATAACCTCCTGCGGCGGGAGGGCTCCTGTCGGGCTCCTGGCCCGGTGCGGCGGCGTACGGCCCCCCTCCAGGGGTGCCGTAGGCCGGCGGACCGGGGCCCCGGGATGGATCGTGTTCGCCGAGGTCGCGGGGCGCAGCGCGAGGTGTGCAGAGGTGCGTCGCGCGGGGCGCGGCGGCGCGGGGAGGCAGCGGGCGGGGTTCGCTGACCCGCGGCGGCGGCGGGTGGAGCGATGCGGCCGCTATGCGACCGCCCTCCCCTGGAGTCTATGTCGGCTGGTGTCATGGGTGAGGGGTAGGAGTGGCTGAAATCCTTCCGTCGGCGCCCCGTGGCCTGCTCGTCAGTCAGTTGCAGGCCACGGGCGTGCCGCGGGGCGGGCGGGCGAGGCACGGCGTTGTTGCGCTCGGGGGTGACGGCCTCGGCCCCGACACCTGCCGCGGCCAAACTTGCCCGATCGCGGAAATAGAGAAGCTGCCGCCGCCTCCTCATCTCGTCTTCCTCAGACGGCAATCGAGATGCAGATGATGTGATACTCTGGGCGCCCCGCGCCTCGCCTCCGGCCTCCCCCGAGCCATCCGACACCACCACACCGCGCGGCCGGCCCAGCCACAGGGCCCAGCCCGGCCCGGTCTGCAGCTCGCCCCTTCCTTGCCGTGGACTCCACGACACCTAAACCGCGCAGCACCGCGTTGCAACTTCAACTTCAACTTCAAGCTTGTTTATAGCGAACTGGAGCCACCCGTAACTCGGGTCACGCAGTCAGGTCTCGGTCGGCCCATCCCCTGCGTTCCAGCTAGTGCTGGTCCGTCCGAGAGTTCACGCATCCGTCGCGCCCGCACCGTATTCACTGGTCGCCGTCTGCACTCTGTTTTAGCGCTGCAACCAACCGCAACGCACCAGCACCAACACAGTGCGGTAGGATGGGTTGCCTAGCCGGCGCGGCGCTGTTGTGGTTGGTGGTGGTGGTGGTACATCTGTCACGGATGAATGCACGTTTTACAATACAAGTTTTGTTCTTCTCCTTCCGGTCAAGCCGAGCCCCCGAGAACCCTATACAGGGTGGTCCATAGACATAGACCCCTTCCTTTATTATGCGGTGTAGTATGAGCGAAATAAAGGAAGGGGTCACCCTGTAGTTCAGCGCAAAGGCATCGCACGGTAAATGTATAATCTGAGTGCTTGAGAACATTCATCGCACAACGAATCCAATGGATTTAAGTAAGTTCACACCTACGGCGCACAGCAAGCTCCGCGACCGCTTCAAGGCGACCGCGACCGCAAGCGAGCGCGAGGAGCAGCCCGGGAGCGAACAGCTGCGAATCGAGTTGTCAAGAACGGTCAACTTGATTATATGCACCACAAGTGTTGTCTGCTTTGTTTTGACTAGTTATTTTGACGTTGACGTTCAAAAGTATTTCTCCCAGTCGAAGTGCTAAGTTAATCGGGTCCTAGAAAACAATGATATTGATGCTAGCCTGATGCTGTTTTTTTAGTCCTAGTTGCCTTCTTGTAATATTATAAATCATGGATGCCATTTTAATTCTCTAAGCTGTTCTTTTTGATAAGCATTGACGAGGTTAGCAACAAGTGTCAGAAAAAATAAAAATATGAATGGAGTTGTTGAGACGTTCTAAAAGATGTCGTACTGCTCTTTTGACATGTTTATTGTCAACACTTGTGTTATTCCTGCAACTTCTTGTCCAGGTAAACAATCATAATACTTGGTTATTGTTTGACTATTTTACCATTCCTAATTATTATTACTTACCCGTTAACTCAAAGCTATGGCTGGAGTGGATAGAGGATGCAAATGTTCCTGTTCATCATCACATAACTAATAAATTCTCCCTTAATGGTAATGTTATTATTTTCTTGATGTAATTGATAAAATCTAGACATTTTCTACCATCATATTTTTAATTATTTTTTTCTATTCAGATGTAGATGACCTTGTCCTAGTATGGTGGACTCCCTTCACTGGAAACACAGGTTCATTCATAGAATGTGGAAATTTAAAATGCTTCATTACAGAAGATCGGCGCTTTCAGCACCACTCCAAATTTCAGGTGTGTAGTACATGATTTTTTAAAAGAAAGTAGGGTTTTTGCTCTCTTCATACTCATGCATGTCTTCTTCAATGTAGATGTTTCTATTTTATGGAAGTAATTTAGAAATTTGGGATCTGCCATTGCCAAGAAAAGACCAACACATATGGTCTCTATTTCATGAAGAATCACCAAAAAATATTCCATTTTTATCTCATCAAGAAGGGATCTCATTATTCAACTTCACTGCCACGTTTAGTCGATTCAGTGATGTACCTCTCACATTACAGTATGTCCAAAGTTTTGAGTCACTAACAGGTATTGGAATATCATACTGAAATGTTTTTCTCTTGCCCATATTAAATGGGGCATTTACTAATATGCAGGATTTTCTAGATCTACAGTATTATGTGCCATTGAGCAAAAAAAATGAACTGTTACAATACTTATCTCCTGTACTCTATGTGCAGTCAGACTGTGATACACCTTTAGACCGAGATAAATATGTTCAGAATCTTATGAGATACATTTCTGTTGACTCCTATGGCACATGCCTACACAACAAGGATTTACCTGAATCGTATGTTGGTTGATCATCTGTGAAGGTATTTCATATCTACCTTTTGAACTAATAACTAAGGCTTAAACCCATTCAGAATGTCAAACCCTATGGAGTCAATGACTAGTGAAGAATTTCTGCACTTTACTGCTCAATACAAATTTACTATTGCCTTTGAAAATGCTGTTTGTGAGGACTATATCACAGAAAAGCTTTGGAGACCTTTGACAGTAGGTTCAGTTCCAATATACCTGGGCTCACCCTCAGTTCAGGTAATACGTATTCAATGTTTTATGTTAATTTTTTCATGATGCTCATTACGAAATACAGTAATACAGATGTATTTTTATTCTGGTTTAGGACTGGCTGCCAAGCCAAAATTCTGCTGTTCTTGCAATTAACTTCTCATCACCAAAGGAATTAGCCTCCCACATTTCTGTTTTGAATTCTAATGATGAAGAATACCTGTCCCTTCTTTCACACAAAGAAAGTGTCATTAGTAATATCTATCAGAAGGCCAAAATGAACCCACGCTTATGGGGGTCTCTAAAAGACAATAGATATCATTTTATAGACCAATTTGAATGTCAAATGTGTATTAAAGCACACCATAATTCGAAAGCAAACGTACAGAGAAAAGTTGCAAACCAAGAAGTATATAACTGTCCAAAGCCAATATCATCAGTTACTGGTCAAGAGGATCCCACTAATCCGTGGTTGTATCTGTGGAAGTATAGCAAATGTGAAGCTTCTCTTCTAGCAGAAATAATTCAAGGTGGTCACATGTTTGTAAACCAAACATTATTCAACCAAGAGGTCCTGTCCAGGATGAGAGAAAGTGACTGTACATGATACAAAAAGACCTAGATAGTCCACAGTCCTAAAGAGCAGTATTACTTCCACACTAAAGTGTACCTGAAAAATATAGAATTTTTGTTTTAACTCTAATATTTGAAAATATGTAAAAATAATGAAAACATTTTTCAGTAAAAATGATTTAATATGGTGTTATCTAATTTTTTTTTTGCCAAGATTCTCATAATTTTAAAAGGGATATAAATGTGTAAGCCTAATCACAAGGGGCAAAACAGAGAATAACAAATATGTGTGGTCATAAACAGTGGTTACAACAACAGAAACACAATATAATTGATAAAACATAGTTTTTGTTTAAAGGGTGCATAAAGTTGGATCAAGACTTGAGAGGAAATTAAATACACTCGAGGGGAATTTGGAAACCTCTAATTGGTTTATTTTCTTAGCCTTAACGTACTCATTTCCTCACAAGACAAAATCCAGATTCCCAGAGGCAGGGAGACCCCATTTCCTGATCATACTTATTAAAATCATACTTATTCATAAAACAAAATATTTCCACATTAAAGGAATTATGAATCTGATATAATTTAAGACAAGCATCATACATCACAGTATAATATGTCAACAAATACATAGCTGTAGTGACAATCGTTTACATACCTCACGATGTAACTGAATTTCAAATTTTATGAAAGCGAGACCTTGGTACAACATTTAAAACAAACATATGTTTGTATGTCCTGTACAGAACTGTACTCTCATGGTTATTCTTACTCATACAAATTCTATCTAGTAAAAATGCAATCATATGCGATCATTCAAGGGAAAAAAAAAAAGGAACAATATCTTTGGACATAACACACACATTAAATGAGCCCACATCATAAGATTTGAAAGATTTACGATGAATCGACCCCACCACTTTCAATACGTCAATAATTGGTCAGGAACCTTTAGTAAAAGGCTGAATGACTTTCACAACACAACAACTAACAAATTATCGAGCTATATAATTTAAGCAACTACAAACGATTGATGTATGGCATAAGGACAAATGAGTATGTTGTAATAAATATGGAAGATGGATGAAATGTTCACCAAGACAACTTGGTTTCTCACACACTGCAAGTGCAAATATGTAGGAACTAGTTCTTCTTAGCCTCCAGTGAGCAATTAAGAAAACAAAAATAGAATGTAGAATGACAAACAAAATCTGGGCACACAAACTTTAAATATACTTGCACAACAATGTTTCACAATTGTGTTATGATGCACAAGCTAACTACATAATCATGTGAATAAGCTTCATAATTTTAGGCCAGTGCTGAGCAAGACATGTTTCTGAAGTAAATTCTTTTCAGCGCCAGCTAAGTTTTAGATGACACTAGTTCAAGAAGGAAAAAAAATTGTATGCAAGAATGGAATTAATTGATATAAATTAAATTCCTTGATAAATTGAAAATAATTGTGAGACTCTGCAATACAATAACATCATTTAGATTATGAGGTTACAAAATCATGTACAAAAGAATCAACATATGGATCACTTTTGTAAAAATGAACCCATGACAATTCACATCACAGTAGATTACATACAACAAAGTATCTTACAACTGACACGTGGCAACAGAAAATGCCAAAACAAAATGACTCATCTCATTAACACTCATAAAAGAAGACTCTTTCAGCTTGAAACCAACAAGGTGTACAGACTAATGGAAAAAGTAAATTGGTAAGACACAATAACAACATAAGCCATTATTTGACAGGTAACTCCAGTCTCAACAAAAGAGGGGAGCAAGCACCACTCCCCAGATTTGTATCACTTCCAAATTGTGTTTATTTATAACCTAGAAGAAAATGGTGTGGCTGTGAAGATTTAAATTGAACTAAATAAAACACATCTCACAAATCTGAAGGCAAGATAATTGTTACACCACACTAAATGTTTGAGTGCCTTTCATAACAAAAAAAAAAATAATAAAAAAAATATACAAACAAAAGTAAGACGCTTTAACAAGGCTATCCAACCCTTCTTCAAAGTCTTGAAATGTTTCAATGTACTCCCTGTAAGTTTTGTAGTTGTTCACAGTTTGAAAGTCTCATATTCTGAGCTTTCTCAAATAAATCTCGGTCACCAAAGTTTCTTGCTTTCCAAAACAGAGTTTCTCCTGGGAAAAGGTTAAGATAAAATTATGATGATTGCGATACTCTTTCAAATTTCTTTTAGATTGAAATAACTGTATTTGCAAAACATAAATTTAAATTTGACTTACTGTAGTTCTTTTCTCTATAGCAGGCTTGCCTTAGATTTTGCATATAGTCTTCTTCCACAGACATTTCAAGTCTCCTCATGCTACCTTGATGTTCTGTGTGGAAATTTTCTTTTACATAGTATGATATCTTTAGGTTCATTGTCTTCCTTGGAACTGAGAATTTGCTATTAGAAAAGAAATATGTAAAATGCATTAGTATTTTAATATCAATTCACAGATTGAACCAAATTTCAGTTTCCTACAGCAGTACAATAAAATATGTATTATTCCATTTTTTAGAATTTAGGAATAACTCAACCAGTCTCTTGACTCAACACAGGGAGGATTACTACAAGATAGCTCAACAACAGCTTGCAGCTAATAGAAAATTACAAAGTGATCTGGAGTCTAGATGTTCATTTAGCGTTGTGCTCACCTACTGGGTTGAAGGCTGTAAATAGGGTCAGATATGAAGAAACCACTCATCATTGACAGCAAAATCAACAACAAAATTGGTAGCATCTGCATAGCAACACCATAGTTGCTTGGTTCTCCCCGCTGGTGGCTATGATGTTCAGCTGTCCTTTGCCATCGACCTCCCCTTCTAACATAAACATTTTGGCTTGGCAATCCACCACCAAAGAATAGATTGAATAGTTCTTCAGCTGTTAGATCAGCTGCAAGTTAAAATAAACCACCATTAGAATGCTTTACAGGTTTGTAACTGCAGGTTTTGTTTCTCTTTGCAGAAAATGTACAAACCTTCAAATCCCCGACTGTAGTTATATTCATGGGCTTGACTGTGTGAGTGACTGACTCTTTCTTCTGAGCTTCCATACAGGTCATACTGTTTTCGCTTTTCTTCATTTGTAAGAACAGCTACAGCATTTCCAATAGCTGAAAATATTAACAACAATTAGAATAGGAAAGAACATTTTGGGCAAGTTTAAAGAATGTTGTATACTTAATGGAGAATGAGATGATACCTTTGAAAGCCTCAGCAGCCCCCGGTGCTTTGTTCTTATCAGGGTGCAACTGTAAAGCTAATTTCTTGTATGCCTTCTTTATTTCACTGTCAGTTGCCTCTTTATCAACACCCAATATTTCATAGTAATCTTTGCACTTTTTGATCCTATATTGAGAGACAACAATGAATGAATCATTATAAGTGGTAAGCGGTAATAGGTTTACATACAACAGCATGGATAAAACAAAGTTGGGCACAAAGTTACTCTACCTTTTCACTGCCTCTACATGATCTTTATTGTAGTCAGCAGATGGTGTATCCTTCTTGGTCGAACTAGATTCATTTGACGGAGCTGTAACCACAAATCAAAAGTCAGCATGGTAAGATGTAACAGCTGATAAGAATCAGAACTGATTCAATTTACCTGAGGCAGAGGACTTCCGTTGTTGTGGTCCTTCATTCCCTCCAGACTGTTGAGTAAATTTCACTCGCTCTAGTAGTTCTGCGCAAGTTAAAGGGAGAAAAATAAATGAAATAAAAAGAACAATAGTTACCTAACAATAGTATTAACAATGTTTAAACAAATATTATTGGGAAAACCTAAATGTCACTGATGGTATTGTAACTAAATGGTATGACAATAAACAATCCTTGAAAACAACTACATATAGGACATGTTCACACAGAGGGAAAGAATTTAAGGATAATAAACAAATTGACAAAAATCTGCATGTCATGATTGATAATCAAAATCAGTTCTCCAAAGTAGCAAAACCAATGGACTCAAGGCTGTCATGTAATGTGAGAGTGAGATTCCATAAGAATGGACTCAATTAAATGGAATATTTATGATGGTTTAACACTGAATGTAACATATTATCAAAAATAAATTTACAGAAGAAAATGAGAGAATACAAGCAGAAAAAGAGGATTATTGGGAGCTTAACCTAGATGTAAGAGACCTACCTTTGGCTCGTGGAGTTGGGAAAAGACGTTCAGCCTTGTTAAGAAACTTTTCGGCTTTGTCGACTTTCCCATCGAGGATAAATCTCTCTGCGAATTCTATGCATCTTTCAGCCTCGTCTCTATTGCTCTCCATTTCTAGTTTTCCGAGGAGAGACTTTTCAGTGAGTATCGTCGCTTGTCAACATTTGACATCAGCAGCTGACGATGTCTGACGTCAACGTTTTTATCAGAATTTGTCATACGTAGGGACTCCAGAGCGGGATATTTGAAAGTTTGTAGGGATTGTATTGTATACTTCTATCCAACAACTAGAGTTGGCCCACAGAAAATAGTTTCTTTCTTTCGCAAGGGAGATAATGAACTTCACAGTGTACGTAATCAGACAATATTAAAGCACATTTTACTCGGTGGGTATTGGGAGCAGTCTAGAACTTGTGTTGGCGTTTCAAAATATGTACCTCGAAGTATGCCATACGAAATACTTCTGTCATCTGCCTCTCCCTTTCTCTCCTCTCTCTGATTTCTCTTGTCTCTCTCACCTCGACTGACTGTTGTGATGATAAGCCAAGATCACTCTTTTGAAAACTAATCATGTATGTTAAAATTATCAGCATGTATGTGCATTCAATTCGTACGTAAACAAGAACTGTTTCTATTTCAATATTCTGCTGCGTCGTACCTGTTACATCCGAATGATACGAATCTCTAGTTAGGAATGTTAACCTATCGTCTGCTCGCAGGGTACTTACGTAAACATTTCTTTATTTTTTCAATAAAAAGATACTACTAGGTCAATTTGTAGTTTCGTCATGACACCTGTGTGGTCGGGAATCTGTGGGGAAACCTGGGAAACGTATCATTACAATTCTTTTCAGCGGGAAGTCAAAAATAAAAATTTTGAAGAGACCTAGAAACAAACTTACCTGAACTGTCACTGCTGTCACCTATCTTGCTTGTACACATCCCATAGTAAGAGATTTCTGAATGACTCCAATTCGTAATAACCATGTTTTCCTTTTCAGGAATCAAGATGCACTTTTCTGTCAGCTACCCAAGGCATTGGCACTTTTTGCAACATGAACAGTGATCCATAGATTCTGTGCAAAGATTGGTTCTTTTCTGAGACTTTGCTCCTCCACACCATCCTCTATATATTAGGTGTGCTTCATTATGTCTATTAATGTCTGCAGGGGTTAGTGTTCCTTCTTTTTCAGCAGCCCTAAATTAACGTGTTGTTTATTCATATTTCAGATTGAAAGATGTCATTCAATCAGGATCATTTGGGAATCATCCAGGCAAAGCTCAGTTCAGGAGAAACTGCTTCCACTGTATCCTTCGTCTCGTTTTAAAAATATGTTTTGGTCAAAGAAGGCACTTCCCTTCAATCTGTATATATTCAATTGTAAGTTGTGATTGCTTGTTAAGTGTATTGACTTTTTCCTTAACTGTATTTCAGTGCCATGAGGCAAGTCTTATGCAGGGTTGTGTTTGTGCATCTCGTATCCTGGCTTTAGTCGAACATGAAGGTGAATGGGCTCTTTTTATTTTTATATCCTCACGAATGCCACCAGAAGTATTTACTGATCTAGCTATAGAGAGAGTAATTCCAATTGATAATGATTTCAAATGTGAAATTGGTAAGTAATCTGTTGAAATTAAGTGCAATAATTTTTGATCCTCATTCTGTAATTTAAACAATGGGTGTATTATGCCAATGCTGCACTCAATACATGAGTTATTTTGATTCTAGCAACAAAAATAATTGTGTTTTGTGTCCCTCAGATGCTGGAGAGCAAAGTGTAGATGTTTATGTGAATTCTCGAAAGTTAAAGCTTTTATTTAAAATGATACCTAGTATCAAGACAAACAATTTTGTGTCTGAAATAATGCGGTCAATGGAAGGTAAGGTTATTATTTTGTTTTCTTTTCTCTTTGTGTACTCTCTAATTTCTTTTTCTTTTTAAATGCATCTTGGATGTTAAAATTTCTGTTCCAGATCTAACAAAACGTAGGGATCCACCGCCAGAGTTTCAGTGGCTTCATAAATACTCTGGATCGAGTACTTCAAGTAGAAATAAAACTGATTGTGAATCTGCTACCACGGATATCACAGAAGATGATGCTTCAAAAGAAAAGGTTTGTGACACAAGAGCTCATCTAAATCATTTTAATCTGAAAGTTGGCGATCAACTACTACATACAACATTTTTTACATTTTTTTGATTCTTTAGATGCTAGATCTTGATAGTCCAGATATTGTTGTGTCACGACATAGTGTAGCTCAGGGAGCCAACCCCATTGCTGCCCGAGAAAATGTTATTCAACATCAAATGTCTCTGAAAGAAAATGACTATACCTACACTCAAATTCTCCGGTAGGGTACTTTTATCTTGAGAGCTTTTCTTTAAAATGTTATCTTCAACCAGAATTTTGATTGGTTAATTTTGAATTTATTGTAAAGATAAAATTAGTAATATGTGAATTATAACTTCCAACTTTCAGAGTATTTATTGGTACCTGGAACGTCAATGGTTTGCCTCCTACTTCAAGTCTGACTCCTTGGCTTGCATCTGATATGGAACCTCCAGACATTTATGCTGTTGGTTTTCAGGAACTCGATCTAAGCAAAGAGGCTTTTCTATTTAATGACACACCCAGAGAAGAAGAGTGGAGGTGAGTTTCCCCATGAGTTTTTCCATTGTTCATTGTTTGACCCAGATTGCTAGGCAGGTGTTTTTTTTGTTTGTTTTTTCATTTGTTTGTTTCTTTGTAAAATTTGCTTTGTTGACACTTTTTTAGGAGGTCTGTTATTGCCGCTTTACACCCTGGTGCAAACTATAAACAAGTTGCACTTGTAAGACTGGTGGGTATGATGTTGATTTTACTAGTTCAAGAAAAACACGAGAAACATGTCAGAAATGCTGCTTTTGAAACTGTTGGAACTGGAATAATGGGGAAAATGGTGAGACAATTTTCAAAGGATCTGTTGTGAATCAAATTTATAGTGTACATACTTCTAAACCGTTTTCTTCACTATTTTTTAAAATAATGTTTCAGGGAAATAAAGGGGGTGTTGCAATAAGAATGGAGATTCACAATACATCAATGTGTTTTGTCAACTCTCATTTGGCAGCTCATGTAGAAGAATTTGAGAGGCGTAACCAGGATTATCATGATATTTGTTCAAGATTATCATTTTCTAAATTTTCACCTCCAAAAGTCATTGACAAACATGAGTAATGTTGATTCCACTCTTTTCTTACTTTTTGTTTTTCTGTACTTTGTATAAAACCCAATTTTCGTCACATACTATGTTTTGTTTTAGTCAAATATATTGGCTTGGTGACCTCAACTATCGAATAACAGAAATGGAGCCACGCATTGTGAGGGATCTAATTAGCCACAACAGTTTAGGTGCTCTTCTAGAGTGTGATCAGCTAAATCGGCAACGTAGTCAAAAGAATGTCTTTAGTGGCTACCGAGAAGGCCCAATTACATTTAAACCTACTTACAAGTATGATCCTGGAACAGATGATTGGGATTCGAGGTTGGTGAAACTATATACGTACTATACATATGGTAATTTGGAAATCTGTTGTATTAACTTTGTGTGGTATCGTTTAATTAGTGAGAAAAACCGGGCTCCTGCATGGTGTGATCGTATTTTGTGGAAAGGTGATGGAATGGACCAAAAGGAATACCGAAGTCATCCTATTTTGAGGACCAGTGATCACAAGCCAGTCAGTGCCATGTTTGAGTCACAGGTAAGAATTTATCTATCCTATATAATTACTTCTTTTAAATTTAACCTCTAAAACCTATATAACAGATTCCCGATATGACAAAGTTTTGTGATGGTCCCTTCAGATCTGTTATAGTGTATGAGTTTCACTGTTAAAGATAAAACAAAAATTTGTTTTGGCAGGTTCGAGTGATTGATGTTGTTAAATATCGCAGAGTTCATGAAGAAGTCTTAAAGAAACTGGACAAGCTAGAAAATGAGTTTCTACCCCAGGTTACAGTTGATAATACTGAAATAATCTTTGATGTTGTGAGGTACTTAGAAGCCCAGAGTCAAGAATTGATAATTGCTAACACTGGCCAGGTATGAGTCATTTCTAAATATTTTTTTTTGCCTTCCTATAAATTGTCAGAACTGCTCATTGGCACTTCAAAATTACCAACAATTATTTTTTTCTTTAACATTTGAATAGGTTCCTGTTCAATTTGGATTCATCAAAAAGCCTGATGATTCAAAATTTTGCAAAGAGTGGTTGAACATAGATCCTGCTGTCAGTTTTATCATGCCAGGTATGTAGTATTTTTTATCTAAAATGTAAGGGTTGGGATTTCTTCTTGGCTTGTAAAGGTGCTAATTTTAGTATGACCTTGCAGGAGAAAAGTGTGATGTGAAGCTTGAGGTTTGTGTTGACAAGAAGTCTGCCTCAAAATTAAACTGTGGAGAGGACAAGCTTTATGATATTCTTGTCCTTCATTTAGAGGGTGGAAAGGATATATTTATAACTGTCACTGGTAAACTATTAAAACTATTTTATTTATTAATGTGATGTAAACATTATTCAAACTTATTTTGTTGTGTGTTCTACATTTATATTCTTGACACCTTCTTATCCTTTGACAGGTAATTATGAAAGGAGCTGTTTTGGATCCTCAATAGAAGCTTTGGTACATATTAGTGTACCTGTAAGAGAAATATCCATTGGAAGGCTGGTGGAACTGGTCAGTATTTTGCTATGCCAATACATAAATTAAAAATGTACACTAAATACTGTATGTGCCATGGATAGTTGTCAGTTTGATCAAAGCAATCAACATTAATTAATGTGTATCTGTTGGATTCAGGAAAAAGGAGAACCACCTGGAGGTATGGAACCATACCCTATTCCCAAAGAAATTTGGTTTTTAGTTGATCATTTATATCGACATGGTTTAAAAAAACAGAATTTGTTTTTGTTGCCTGGTCTCAACTCTGAATTAATTGCCATACGCAATTGGCTTGACAATGGATCATCTGAACCATTACGTATCCTTTGTGGAACTAAATTTCTTTTGCAAGGTTGCGGAATGTTTTATGTGTTCTGTGTTTTCTCTTTCACCACAAACGCCATACTGTGCAATGAATTTCATTGCAAATTTCTGTGTTTCTTTCTGTGTACATTTTCCTCAACTCCAACTTAGCTGGAAGCCTTCATTCAATAGCTGAAGCTCTCCTTCTACTTTTGGAGTCCACAGCCGAACCAATTGTACCATTTAACCTTCATAGTGTTTGCTTAGGGGCTGCCAGCAATTATCTTCAGTGCAAGCAGGTCTGTTCAGATGTTTTTATTATAAGTCTTGCCCTGATTCAATGGAAACCTAACATTACTTGTTTGCTGGTGCAGATTGTTATGCAGGAATTACCTGAATACCGAAAAAATGTGTTCTTGTACCTTTGTTTCTTCTTACAAGAATTATTGTCACATGCAAATGAAAATGGGCTGGATGCAAAAACTCTTGGTA